GCCGAATGACTTAGGGCCAGATTTACAAATGCCAGCGCAAACCGTCTTTTGGCATTAAAATAGTACTGTCAAGATTTACTAAAGACGTGCAGTGAAGAATTAGCGCTGAAAAGGCATGGACAATTATTTTTGCGCCTGACCTTATTGAATATGCATTTATAGGAGTTTCTCTTTAAATGGGTCATATGATATTGCTAAAAAGAACATTATTTGGTGTAATGAAATATGTTTATGCGGTTTAAAGTAAAAAAAACACATTATTTTCCACATACTGTACATTACTTGTGAACGCGAAACTACTTTGATTGGCCTTCCAAAAGAGGACGATAATGATATCCGCTTCGTCATGCCTAGAGCTGATCCATGCTGGTCGCTGAGGAAATACATCAGCTTCGCGCTGTGGATCGCCGGATCGGCTTTCACCGTGGACGAAGCAGAGTCCAGCCCGGGGTCGGCACATGTGGGCACACGCATAGAGCGGGATAATACGCAGAGCGTCACACCACGTGAAAGTGAAACCTGAGCGGTGAACTAATTTTCGGCAGCCGAAATTTCGGTGCATCTCTAATTATAGGCGACATCAGAAATGGATATTATATAATAGATGCTTTTTTGATCATTTTAGCAATTTAAAAATATAAAAAAAATATTTTTTACACGGCACCCGTGCTCTCGACAGACGGCACCCCGGTTGGGAAACACTGGAGTAGACTACAATGCCGGCTGTTCTGACTCGCAGACTGTAAGTACGTTTTCATATATAAAGAATTTGCCACTGATGATTCAAACGCGAGTTTTGGGCAGTGTGGAGTAGCACTTGTTGTCAAAATAATGTTCTTTTTAGCAACATCATATGACCCCTTTAATGAATCATGCAACGTGCTTTACTAACATTTGCGCTTGTCAATTTACTGGTATTTTCGCCATTGTTTAACGCCCAAAAAAAAGCATGTCTTAAACTATTTTTGCTGCTGTGTCGTAAGTAGATCACCCGCACCTGATAAGCGTTGGCTCTGCTTATTTGCGACTACGCTAATTTGCGCTGCGCATGGTATATTGTGTTGGTCGATATATAAATTAGATGTTGCGTCTGTGTTCTTTAATTTGCGCGCTGTCAGTAAAATCACTCACAGAAATTTCCACGCCCATTGGCGCTGTTTTGGAATTACGCTCCCGCCCTAATTTGCCCTTTTTAGTAAAACTGGCCCTTAGACTTTCAAAAACATTGGATTTTAATATTGGTGAGCCAATCATTTACTGTCACTCTTCATGAGTCACCTCATAGTTTCCTCAATGTCACTGTAATACGAATCCTTGCCGCACTGAGGTCAAAGATCAGTCTTCTTACCTTCACCTGTAGTCCTGAGCACACCTGTGCTGTCATCAGCCTTTCATTGTTCAACATAAGACTGATATCTTCAGAAACAAAGATGACCTTGAAACATCTGTGAGCCAATGTTTGTGGTGCCACTAGTTCCTCGCAACAGTCCTTGCATTGTTCAGACAATCATTGTCAACATCAGCCTTACTTGAAAAAAGGAAAGCAGTTGTATATGAGTTGAAGTTGCTGAGAAGTCTTCCAAATCATTGTATACATCTCTTGGTGTTGTTTGCAGGTATGTGATTCAGACACTGTACTTGATCCAGCATGCACCATTGAGATGCTGAAGGTTCTAGAGGAAGATCCGGAAGTGGGTGGGGTTGGAGGGGATGTTCAGGTGAGAAGTTTGCCTATTTTAGTCATTTTTATGTCACTTTCAACAACTGAGAAGTTTTCCAGTAAGTTTCCTCTTTATAGAACACCTACCGAGAGTTCCATTGTCTCTTTCAGATTCTGAACAAGTACGACTCCTGGATCTCCTTCCTGAGCAGTGTCCGTTACTGGATGGCTTTCAACGTGGAGCGGGCTTGTCAGTCTTACTTCGGATGTGTGCAGTGCATCAGTGGACCTCTGGGAATGTACCGCAACTCTCTCCTCCAGCAGTTCCTGGAGCCCTGGTACCACCAGACCTTCCTAGGAAGCAAGTGCAGCTTCGGAGATGATCGGCACCTCACCAACCGCGTCCTCAGCTTCGGCTACAAAACCAAGTTCACAGCACGCTCACAATGCCAAACCGAGACCCCCACGCAATATCTGCGCTGGCTCAACCAGCAGACCCGCTGGAGCAAGTCTTACTTTCGAGAGTGGCTCTACAACGCCCTTTGGTTCCACAAGCACAGCCTCTGGATGACCTATGAATCTGTGGTCACCGGATTCTTCCCCTTCTTTCTGGTGGCTACAGTCATCCACCTGTTCTACCGAGGCCGGTTGTGGAACATCTTGCTCTTCTTGCTAACAGTCCAGCTGGTGGGCATGGTGAAAGCCACCTATGCCTGCTTCCTGCGGGGTAGGCTTGTCATGATCTTCATGTCACTGTATTCACTACTCTACATGTCAAGCCTGCTGCCTGCTAAGATCTTTGCCCTGTTGACTATTAACAAAGCAGGTTGGGGAACATCAGGCAGGAAAAAAATTGTGGTAAACCTTATTGGGGCTGTGCCTGTGACCGTGTGGGCAGCCATACTGCTCGGTGGCGTGGTTTACACCATTTACTGTGAGGTCCAAGAGCCCTTTAGTGAGACAGAAAAGGCTCTTCTCATTGCAGGTACCATCCTCTATGCCTGTTACTGGCTCATACTCCTGGTGCTCTACCTGGCCATAGTGGCCAAGCGCTGTAACAAAAGAGAGGAACAGTATCACCTATCCTATGCCGAAGCCTAGCATGGTCTCTCCAAAAAGATCTCTACATGCTGTCAGGGCTCATTTGAAATGGCCCGTCCTTACCTGGTGCTGCAATCCTGGTTATAATTATGGATCATGTGTAAGTCTAAGAATGTTAGATGGTTGTTAGATGGTTATTTTTTTAGCTGTTAGCTAAGTTGCTAGCTATGGTTACTTGAGAAGTTTCAAACCGTGGGGCTTTTATGAGAACCAATAATTTACATAAGCTGAAATCAGGAATGGTGCTTCTCGTGATTATAAAGCACACAATAAGGAGGCGGCCAGCCAAGGTGGGAACAACAAGTTGAGCCAAAGGTTAGAGTGGTAAGTTAATGTAATTAAGGTGACACACTCATATTAGGTTAATGGTTTATTTTGGTGCTTGGACTTATTACTCTATAGAATGTGAATTGTCGAGGACAGAGAGGTGTGTGTCAACACTTGAGGAAACCTGCGTAAGACACTAAGCTCGCCAAACCCAGTCAGTATTTTAACGTCCTTTATCTGACAATCCAGCATAATTCTGTATTTTATCATAGTGGTGCTACCCATACTTTTGTGGGGTAACATGATAGATAGAACCAACAGTATTTAAATGAGAATTTTATGGTTCTCCACAAAGATTTACTACACTGTACATGTTTAAAGTTCAAGAATATCAAGTAACATCCAGCTCCAATGAAAAGGATCATGTCAGGCAACCAAAGAGGATTTTCTAGCGCATCTAGAATGTTTTGTTCCAGCGTGTTTGGTAAAGGAAAAAAAAAAAAAATGGAGGAAAGATTGGTCTCGAATTTTTATTCCCATTCTCCTTTTTACCTATAAAACAAACTTGGTTGAAGTATATGACATTTTATTATAGGTGGTGAAACCAGAGACATAACTAACATGGAAAGTGATATTTAAATTTTTTTCCCTCAGTCTTGAGAACTTCAAAGTAAAAACAGTGTTACATTACATGAAAAGAATATCCAGTTATACTGCCTGAAACTATACACATTACATTTTTTGTTTACATACTTTGAACAGCATTTCTAATAGTCATTTTCTATTGAGGTTTATAATTTAATAACATTTCATTCATGCTTCATTACCTGTTGAGATCATTTTTAACATAAGAGGCATGTGGACTTGTGATGTCATGATATTTACTGCTTTTTCTCACCCCAAACTGATTATTGATTAAAAAAAAAAGTATATGTTAGCTAATTCTGCATGTTAGCCAGATGTTACAGAATCTGACCACCTTTGCAAATTCTTACGACCCTTTCCTGTAACACAAACTTTTTATTCCCATTAGTTTAATTAAGATGTTCAGTTACCTAGAGAGACAAATACAAAAAAGTGAACTGAAGTAACTTATTTATGGTATGCAAAGTTAGGTGGTTTTAAAGATTACTATATATGAATCAAAGGTGTACAGTGGGCTGTTTTTCCACCCTCAGCCCACCCACGCAACAATTAGTAGATTTACTTCAGTAGCAGTTCGCCATGAATGCGAACGCTAACGTTTTCTGCTCCCTTCCCCCCAAAACACACATTAAACTCTGGCAGAGATCTAAACACTGAGGCTAGTGTGCATATGTGTGCAAGTTTAGAGAGAAGCTTTGAGTTTATGAAACACTTTTGCTTGTGCATTACATGTGATAACTGTCTTAAAAGTGAACTGCTGTGGACTGCAGCATCCTTTAAGGCTGCAAATATAAGATGATGACCCTGATGACAATGCAATTATGAAACCAGAGCTATATCATGTTTACAATCAAACCTGGAATTGCATTGTTCACATTTGTGTGTTTTTCAGATTTTATGCAATTCAGTATTAGACTGGGTGCCAAACTTTTAAGACTGATATGCTCCTCAGGAACAGAGTGTGGGGCTAAAAATGAGACCTGGACAAATTGGGTTTAAGCAATATACAAGCGTTAGAAACAGAGCCACATTTACAGTGGGGAAAAAACGTTTTGCTCTGCTGTCTGCCAAACAGCCAATTAATATGTAGACGTTTAATTTTAATTTATCAGTGAAAACTAGGTCATACATTCTACAAGTTTATTGTAAAGTAATTTATATTTTTGTAATGTAAAATTCAAAGATATTTTAAACATGCAAGAATCCTGACACATTTTCCTAGGAAACTATATTTTATGTTAAACATGTCAAGTTATTTTCATAAAACTACAGATTAGAGAATAATAAATTATTCACAATCCATAATAGAAGTGTTTTTTACCAGTGTTTTTCAGATCGCCACTGGCAGCTTACGTCTACTCGCAAAATAAAATATTCAAGTGTTGATAAAACGCCACCATTTATTCTGTGTGTCACAGCTAACCTGTATTTCCACAATGTACAATACCTAGAAATGGCCATCATGGTCTTTTTAATCTCACATGAACTTTCCATATTATGTTTTATGTATTTATGTACATGCAAAAGAAGCTGGATTCTTTAAATTTGGACATTTCTCATGTAATTATTTTTGCAAACACTTGTAACTGATGTTTTGATACAATAAATTTCCATTCAAAAGTGAGCTTTTTCTTTTTCTGATTTTCAAATTCACGGTAGGCCCATTACTTAGAATATTTATATTTGTTCAATGTTATTGTCAATTACTCATTCCTGACAACAATATACAAAGATACTAATCCACCATTCAAAACAACATTTATATTCACATATGGTTACAAATCTAGAATTCTGTGCCGATCAGTCAGCCTCTAATATCTGAACATAAGTTATACCTTCTTTGGCACATTAGTGATGATGGGTTTGGGTCGGGTTTTAAAGATGAGCTTCTTTTTGATGAGGGCGGAAACAGTATAAGATGTTGGGTTCTCTTGGTTGGTTTCCATCGTTTCCTCTTCATCCCGAGGGAGTCCAGAGTGCTTCATCAGAACAGCAAAGGGCTTCTCCAGTTTGACCTGTTTGCCATAAAGGATGTGATGTCCGACTATTAGCACCGGTACACCCTTGGAGAGAGGACAAGTCAAGAATTTACCATAGGTAACTAGATGAATATTAGTGGGGGGGTTTTTCATTTGATATGTTTCCATATTTTGTTCAAACTGTCTTTCAAATAGTGTGGAATAAAAAGTACTTAATGTACTGCAAAAATACAATTTCTTCTCTTTTTTACCGACTTTATACTGAAGACAAACCTCTTTTGTATAGTGCAGGTCTCCCATCAGATTTCCTGCAAGTCCAGTATTCTGTCTGGACACAATTTCTCCCTGCAACTCCACCAGCAGCCATTCAGCTGGACCTTCACCAGCTTTACTGCAAAACACACAGAAAACCATTTTCAACAAGCACATTTAGACCATGACCTGTAAAAACTAACTTAATTAGTCTTAACTAAAATAATTAGCTTAAGTCTTCGCACCAACCTCGAGATGACTATTTGAACCATTCCTTTATCTGTTTCCTCTGTGTCAGGATTCACAAATCACACAATTCTTCCTGCTCTGTGGACCTTCTCATCTGAAACGTTGACAAGGATAAACAAGTCAAATATTACCTTCACTCCACAACTGTCTACATGAACGCACAGAAATATACTACATTCGTAAATACACTCACTTCTCAGATCCGTTGTTGTACATGATCTTCTGCTGACAGACACACGAGTTTCCCGCCAGTGCGAGTTACATTTCAAAATAAAAGTCCCGCTGCTTCTTCTTCTTCTTTTGTGTTTAATGGCGGTTGGCAACCCAGCTTAAGGTGCAAGTCCCGCTGCTGTGTGAACCACTAGAGGACAATCGAGGTTCGTCTGCAAATATTGTGGAGCCAGTGCATTGCGCAAGCCTTTCGTAAAGCTTGAATTTTTTCAGTTGTAGTAGTTATACTAAATCATTTGTTCTCAAATTTCGTTAATTGTTTCTGACAAAATAATTCAAATAACTGATATAATAGTCTTGTTTATGAATTTTGATACCATTGTTTATTAGAGATTGGAGACTGACAATACAATTAAAGTTCTTACTCTGTCCAGAAAATATAACATACATAAAGTAAAATATATGTCAGTTGTACCCAATATTAGATGTATGTGAGTTTTCTCTTAAAGACTTTAAAAACTTAAAGATTTTTTTATGATTCCATATTTTTATAAAGAACAACAGTAAAGCTGAGATGACATTTCTGTCTGAAAAAAAGATCATACATAATAGTTATATGACTAATTTTTGTTGTAAGAGGTATAGGCCCTATATCTAGTCGATTAGTGTACATATAGATGTATAAACATACGTTTTGTAACCGTTTCTCCTTAAAAAATCCAATAAAAAAGATCTGACTCTCAGGAAAACAAGAGAAAGAAAGGAAGATAAAAAGGACTCAAGAATACTCAAGAAAACAAACCCGAGACAAAAGAAGACATAAACAATTTATATTTCCCAATTATACATCTTACAAATACATAAAAACTCGATAGCTTTTTCATTCAAAGAGTGTTACTGTTTCTGATTTCACTCAGCAACGTCACAAAGTTAGAAATTAGTGTGCTTTTTAAGTAAATTAACAGGTAAATATATAAATATAATATTACTAAAGTAAATATATAAATAAAAGATTATTAACACGAAAACAAAAATAAATAAATGTAAACAAATGTAAAGCAGTTTCAGGGCAACCACTGCAAACTTCTAATGATGATGATGATTATTATTAAACTTATAATTAAACTTATTATTAAGTTTTGATATATGTGTGTGCGCATGCGTGGCGTTGGCCATGCGGAAAATGACTCGTCAGTGTTGTTGTGGATCGCTGACAGGCACGTGAGCGGTGCTCGATTTAGCAGTCGACATGGCGGCCACAACTCCTCCCAAGGTACAGAGCATGCAGTTTTATAAGTCAATACACGGTCAAAACGACAAATAGCTTAATTTTGCCGTTGTTTTTAGGTGGGTTGTTGCGTAGATATTCTGTTTGACTAGCTTTTTGAGCTGTAGGTGCTGGGAAATAGATGATAGACTGGTCTGATAAACTGCTGTGTTTAGCAACAGTTAGCCTGGCTGCTAACACCCAACCACCCTGACATACAGCTGATAAAACTGCGAAAAACACGGACGCCAGAAGCAGCGTTTACGCTGCCAGTTACGCCACGACTGCAATATTGATCGTGTTTGGGGCGTTTGGACAGTAAAAACAAAAAACACTTAAGAAAACACACAAAATCACAGTTGTGTCTGTGCTTAACTTAACTGGTGTTGAGCCATGAGCTACGTGGCAGGTTAATGAAGATCATAATCTAGAGATCATAAACATGTTTTGAGTTAGATGACCGATAGTTTATCTACTAATTCAGGTGAATTCAGTCCATAAGGAAACTAGCTTTCAATATTTCCAGTTCTCTTAATGAGCTATTTCTTGTCACTACAGAACCTCATTTTCTTTTTGTGTATCGTTTTCTCATGTCTGTTATTTATGCATGAGCAAGTACCTTTACCACCAAAATGTTTTGATGGTTGAGTGACTTACCAATTACAGCTACTAATACTACACATATTTAATATGGAAATCATAACATGAAACTATGTGCAATGCTCATGTGGTGCAAATTATTGTAAGGTTGTGTTTTCCAGGGGTTATTTTTAGTTTTGCAGTGATCAGTTTCATGGTTTTTGTTGTAAGGGAGCCTGCAAGAACATTCTGTTTGTGTCAGTATGACAGGAGCTTTCAGTTCCTTAAGTTCAAGCCTCAGGCTGCAGACTAACTTGCCTTTTAAGGCACAGGGCGCAGAGTACCATAACAGGATCTTGAAATGTTTGTTTTTAGTGACCTATTTGGAGAAAATAATATCTCTGGTCACTGTAAATCAAACCTTGTAATGTCCTGTTAACATATACTTAGTTTTTCTTTGTTTTGCAGGTGGTGTTTGAACACGAGGGAGTCTTCATTCACTCATCTCCAGATGAATCTGAGGATCAGGATTTAATATCGGGGTTCCTCAGGATTGTTGATAAGGTATGGGTTTTGTCAGTTGCTTTATTTCTTGCTAGTAATATTATTTAGATTTAACGAGTGTATTGTTTTAGAATTATTATGATTTACCTTAACTAGGTCATTGTGACATACATAAGATGTTATACCACATTCTTGTGTGATTGTTAGGACAGCTAATACACTACAATTTTTCAGAAATCATTCTAATATACTGATGCTCACGAAACATTTCTTCTCATTATAATTGTTCATTTGAATAAAACAGTTGTGCTGCTTAATATTTTTGTGGAAACCATGATACATTTTTTCAAGATTCTTTGTTGAATAGGAAGTTCAAAAGAACAACATTTATTTAATATTATTAGTTCACCCAAAATCATCATGAGTTTCTATTCCTTTATGATAGAAATCTGTTGCAACATTTTAAATGTCTTTACTATCACTTCTGATCAATTTAATGCTTCCTTGCTTAAAGTATTAATTAAAAAAAAAACTTTTAAATGGTAGTGTATCCGTCTATCAGTATCTCCCAATATCTGATTTTTTCTTCTTTAAATGTAGGATGGTGAAACCCTTGTGGAATATAAACCACTGGAGGATGCAGATCCCTCAAACATGCTGTGTGCATGCAAGGTTTGTTAGTTCATTCATAAATTATGCATTTCCTGTTTCATCTGTGAGAGTTTGCATATTAATGTTGACTGTGAGTTCAAATCACTTCTGCAGTTCATCTGTGCTCTGTACTGGTATTTTATGATTCTGCATAGTTCTGGGTAAGGATAACCTGATTTTTGTTTGTTTGATTGTGTGAAGGACTCCAGCTCAGTGGTGGAGTGGACTCAGAGTTTAGAAGACAACCCTCACCGTCCTATTGACCATCAGCTGAGCTATGAAACGGAGTGGGACATGATCAATGCTGTCTCATTCCGGAGAAAAGTCCACGCACATGGAGATGGTAAACAGTTGCACAGTTCTACGAGTCAAATGTGGTTGAAATGCTTTAAAAATCAAAATTGCTGTCACCATGCACTTTACCCAGTACTTAACAGAAAATGTCAGCATGTTATCTCGTGCATCAGTCAGTGAATTATGTGTCGGGCCTTTTTTTTTTTGCAAGACCAGAAGAAGGAAATCTCTAACAGTAACCAAGCTTATTATTTATTGTCATATTGTCACAGGTGGATCAAACCACACTAATGACCGGAACAAGTGGGCCTTCTCTTTTAATGTGTGTGACCTCAGGTCTATCACAGTCAAATGTGAGGGCTGGTCTTACATCACTTTCCGCTTGAAGGATGGCACAGCGCTGCCAGCTATTCATTTCCACCAGGGAGGGAGCACAGCATTCCTGGATAGCCTGAGGAAGTCAGTTCAGATCAACGAGTAAGTGAAGTATAAGTGGTTGATTTAGTCTAAATAGGTCAGGCATAATCTGTGGCTCAGCTGTAGGCAAATATTGCGCAATATCTATTTCAATATCATTATATTTATGAATTCAATGTTGTTTTTATTGCAGCATTAGCCCAGTAGAGTATAGTCATGAGTTACAGACATTTTATAAATGATTTTGAATACATTATAAGCAATGCTGCACAGAACCTGCACACTTATTTAATGTTTTTCTGTGCATGTTGTGGGGTTAGATCCACGGAATGATTTTAAATTCGGGTTAAATTATTGTAAAACAAATACCCAGTAACCAGATTTGGGGCCAGGTTTACTAACCACTTGCGCCAACTCAAAACCTTTTTATTAATGGGAGGAGAGTATTTAAATGAGTCGTACAAGGTGATTTACTAAGGTTTGCGGTATTCAATTTGCTACCATTTGCGCTATTAATTAATGCTCAAAAATGTCATGTATTAACCCATTTTGGTGCCAGTGTTGTTAGTAGATTGCACCTTTCTCTCCCCTTCCACTTCGTAAGGAAAGCTACAACAGCCGAGTGGATGAAGTGGCCAAAATTTCCTTTCTTCCAGGGTTCATCTGAGTGTTTTTGCACTTTTTCTTTTTGGTATTTTCAGTGTGAACTCATTATTCACACTATGAATACTAAAAAAGGCATAGAAAAGTGTGCTATTTGAAATGCACCTTATGTCTTTTTGTTTCTGAAAGCATTAATAAGCATATTATCTTTTACAAATTCTTGTGTGGACTGTCAGACATCTTCCTCTGAATGAATATGGCTTAAGTTTTTCATTCTTCCTGTTTTTATCTTAAAAGTGACCCGTGACCTTTTAATTCACTAAATACCACAGGCACTAATATTACTGTCTGTGACTCACAGAATTCTTTATCCAAAGATTTCGTCCTTTAAAACAGAACACATCAAACTGTAACCCAATCTGCATGCAAACGAGATGGAGTATCTCGGCACCTTTGAGGAAGTCTAGCATGTGTTCTGTGGCGAGAGGCCGCGAGCGTGATTCATGTAAGGTCGAACAGCAGCTGTTCGTTTAGAGTTAAGGCTTTATGAAAGGGACAGGAAGACACTCCTCTCCCCTGCATTAAATATCACACCAGATTAAATCCACCAGTAAGCATGCTGAATTCAGTGCTGCTGAAGAAAAGATAGCTGTTATTAAAGTTCTTATCTGAGTCTCCATAATGAAACATAGGCTTGGCTTGGTTTGCTCGGCTTCTCCCGTCATTCAAACCGCCCAGCGATATGGCCAGTGATGTCATATGTTTACAATTCGAATACTTGTTGCTATTTGT